TTTTCAAGGGAGACCTGCAGCAGTAGGTTCCACAAGAAGACATAAAAACATAAACAACAGAACAACAAAAGGACATCATACAGCAAAATGTACAGGGATTACAATTTACATATTTAACCACATGTACAGGTACCAACAGCATCTGATTTTGTAGCATCCAACCGAGCTTTAAAAACATGTAGTGGTACTAGCTTGGTAATTTTCCATTCTTTTTGCAGACTGTTCCATGTTAGTGGAGCTGCACATCTAAAAGCTTTCTTCCCTAAGACAGTCCTAGCACTTGGCACATTTAATAAAACCACAGCATGCGATCTCAGGCAATAAGTACTTTAAATTCGCAGAGAGATCAGGGAGCAGATATAAGATGGTAGTTTATCCAACATGGCTTTGTAAATGAAAAAGTACCAGTGACTGAGCCTCCGTACAGTAAGAGATGGCAAAACCGCCTTGGTATACAGGGTACAGTGATGCGTAAGTGCTTTACAATTTGTCAAAAATCTCAGTGCACTGTGATACGCAGCATCTAACTTGCTCAGGTAATTGGCAGGTGCATTCATATTATATATAACAAATCACCATAATCCAGCACAGGTAAAAAGGTCACAGTGACTAGCCTTTTCCTGGCCTCAAGCGAGAAACAGGACTTATTTCTGTAAAAGATACCTAGCCTAACCCTCAGCTTTTTAAGCAGGTTATTGACATGAAGTTTAAAAGTGAGACAGCCAGATACCCAAGTATTTGTAACAGGTAACCACTTCAAGTTGTATTCCTTGCGTAGTTACAATATCCAAAGCAGTCTCTGGTGTATTTTTAGCTTTAGCTTTCGAAAAGTGCATTACCTTGGTTTTATCCACATTTAAAAGAAGCTTAAGCTCAGAGAGCTGAGCCTGAATAATGTTAAAAACAGCCTGTAATTTAACAACAGCCTTGTTAATCGAGGGACCTGCACAGTACATAACGGTATCGTCCGCATAAAAATGTAAGGTTGCTCCTTCGACATTTTCACCTAAACTATTAATATAGATAGAGAATAATAGCGGACCTAAAACTGAACCTTGTGGTACAATATTAGTGATGTTTAACCACTCAGAAGACAGCCCATCAAACTGAACACATTGGGACCTTTCAGAGAGGTAGTTTACAAACCACCCTACTGCATGGCTGACCAGCCTTTGCTTCAAAATGCGATGATCGACGGTATCAAAAGCTTTGGATAGGTCAACAAATAGAGCTGCACAACTCTGCTTATTATCTAAAATACTCGTAATATCATTTACCACTCATTGTGGCAGTGATGGTGCTATGTTGCTTTCTGAAGCCTGACTGATGTTTAGACAGGATGTCATTGTTACATAAAAACACCTTTACCTGTTCACTCACTAGGCGTTCAAGAACCTTGGCCAGAACTGACAATTTAGAGATGGGTCTATAATTGTTTAATAAGGTGGCCTCCCCTCCTTTTAGTAGTGGCAGGACATAAGCTGACTTCCATACTTTTGGGATTTTGTTCGTGCTGAGAGAGAGGTTAAAAAGAGTAGTAAGAGGTGGAGCAATAAAATCTGCAGCTATCTTTAAAAAGAAAGGTTCTACGTTGTCCGGACCAGCCGGCTTTTTAGGATCTAGCTTGGTTAAGACTTCACGAACAACATCAACAGTAAAAGGAGTAAAACTGAAAGGGTTTTCCAGACCACATTGTTCTGAGTCACCGACTGTGGTGTTCACAGAAGCAGAATTAGAAACGGAATGAAACAGAAAGCCACAGGACACAAAATGCTCATTAAAACAATTTAGTATGGTGGCCCTATCCGATATAGTGCCAGATACTGTGGTAAGGCACGGAGGTAGCTCATTACGGATATCACCGGTGGATATCGATTTTATGGCTTTCCAGAATTTTCTAGGGTTGTTCAGATTCTTTGTGGTAACTGACAGATAATACTTAGATTTAGCACTTTTGACATGTGAAGTGAAGCTATTTCTTAGCTGCCTAAAACGCAGCCGTTCTACCTCTGAGCCTAAATTCCTAGCCTTTGCCCAGGCCTTGTTTCTCTCATGTAGGAGAATAGATAATTCAGCAGAAAACCAAGGATTGTCTCGTCCCTTCACTCTAAATGTACGCAGGGGTGCATGTCTATCTATAATTTCCATAAAACCAAGATAAAAATAAGACCATGCAGTCTCAACATCAGCACACAAATCGATTTTTCCCCAATCAAACCCAAACAGATCATGTACAAAACCCTGCTCCACAAAATGTTTTATGTCTCTCTTGATGATAATACGAGGTTTAACCTTTTGGACCTTAGTGTCCCTAATTGTGGCTACAACACAGTGGTCACTCAGATCATTCGCAAATACTCCCACAGCTGAGTATTTATAGGGAACATTAGTTAAAATGAGATTAATTAGGGAGGATTTATTTGGGGACTTAATATTAGGGTGAGTAGGACTGTAAACAATCTGAGTAACATTTAAAGAGATACAAAGGTTTTTAAAATCCTCTGACACTGCAGTTAACCAGTCCCAGTTCCAAGTAGCACTATTTCCTTGTAGTCTAGTTGCGATAAAATATTTGCTAGCGAAGACAAGCAGTCTTTGACAGCTGAGGGGGGTCTGTAACAGCCCACGACCATGACCTGTTGACCCTTTGCCACTTCTATATTTAAGGCTAAAAATTCAAATTGCTTATTGATAGATTTGGAAACTACAGCGGTTACACTGAACTTATTCTTAACATAAATGGCAACGCCACCACCTTTATTAGGCCGGTCGGTACGATACACATTAAAACCATTTAAGGCAATGTCAGAGGCCAAAATAGATTTGTTTAGCCATGTTTCTGATAAAACAATGACGTCAGCGTCAGTCGAGCTCGCCCAGATACGGACAAAATCTAGTTTACCTAACAGACTGCGCACATTCAAGTGGATGAAACCCAACCCAGACCTAGCTTTAAAATCAGCAGGAGTAGCGATCTGACTACTACTACTGGGCGGACCAGGGTTAGGTTGTACATTTCCTGACAGTAATAACAACAACAAAAAACAGGCATCTTTTCCTCTTAAGTGACACACATACATTGTCATCTACTTTAGAATCACCGGAAAAGTCTGCGAGAGTGTGATTAGAGCTTAAGAAGCAGTCCTGAAGAACCATCATCGCAGGAAAACAAAAAAGACAAACATATTTTGTCGAGCAGATTGACTGTGACAAGGCAACCGGTAATTGTTTGTGTAACACATCTGAACCTTTGCAGGGGATGCCCACTGCGGGTGGCAGAACAGACCTGAATCCAGTAGACTCCTCAGAATGACTAGAGATCTTCTCATAGTCCAAAATAGTTAACAGGCACAGCAGAATCAAGATATGGGCCATTTTCCCAGACCAGGGAACCGCGATGTTCCTGGAGAAAAATCAGCACAGCAGCAAAGGACAGGCGAAAGCAGCAGCGTGGTTTCCCCGGGGTGAAAGCAGGCCTCTGCGACAGCAGAACCAGGACAGGTGGAAAGCAGGCCCCAGCCGTGGTAAAATCCTCCTCCGTACAGCAGCACACGCCCGGTGGATTGAAAGGGGGGGGCTGATAGTTCAGCGAGCCGGAGTCGAACCCGCCTTCTGGGCACCCAACTGCCTCTATTTTGGGTTTGTACTAGAACATGCTTTATTTTTCAAATAACACTTAATTTATCTCATGCTGATGCTGCCTGTCTGAACACACCTACATTCACCCTTTGTCTGGAACACTCTGTTGCATAGTGCTGTAGCGACGCGTCGACTTCAAAATATCGTCGACGACATATTTCCGCGTCGACGCGTCGCTACACACACGTGGGTCACCCAAAGCAACAAGCAGTTTGCAATCACACTTCAAACACAATGGAGACTGAAACGGCTACCACCTCCTCCTCACAGGATTGCGCACGAAGCCCCCAAACGAAAACATCTCGCCCTAGGTCTTCAAAAGCATGGGAATATTTTAAAGTTAGTCCAAAACGCAAAGATATTTATATATTTATATCTCACTGAGACTGCTGCATAGCCTAGCAGAAGCAGCAGCTAGCTGTGGTGGCTACCATTAGCAGCTAGCATTTGCTCTCCGATTTTTACATAAAATGGAATTATGGATTATAAATTCAATCATTTTTTTATACATAGACGTTAAAAACCTATGGATTCACCGATTCAGCCGCGTTTTTTCTCATTTTAATGCCATTGAACACGTCTTTTGATCAGATTGACAGCTACGGTGGTGAGACGATCTCCCTAGAAGCTCTGTGAAGGTACGTGTTGTGATGACTGTATTTGCTTCCCCTGTCGCGAGTCCGGATCACTCAGTGATGATACTATATACCTACATAATCTGTGGAGTCTCAGCTTTAATCGGATATATTGTATGTGCAGCTACGATAAGTAATAAGGGTACTTTTATCTTGAGTTCTGTGCCAATGTCCGTTAGCATTTTTCGCTCAGGGGTCATTTAGATGCTTCTTATGAGACTTGTGTTTTGTTTTGGTAAACATGGTTTGTATCGTCAGTTAGCTGAGATTATTTCCGTTAATCTGGTATAACACATTAATAGGTTCTTAAATATTAAGATCCCCTGAGACACAGTATCGTGAAAAACATTTTTTTACATTACGTTTTTTTTACATTACGTTTTTTATGAATTGAACAACAGAAAAAATAATCGTTAGATTAGTCGACTAATCGATCAAATAATCGCCCGATTAATCGTTTTCAAAATAATCGTTTCCCCCCAGCACTACTGTTGCAGCCCCCAAAGTGGCAAAATGTTGCAAAGATAATACTCAAGCCATGTCTTGAAATACTCAATTGGCTAGTTGTACAAGATGGCGTCTATCAACTTCCGGCGGCTGGGTGTGCGGTTGTAAACTTCCGGTCTATAGTAGAGCGGTAGAGGGAAGAGCGATAGATAGCGAGAAAGAGATAGCGTATAGATATTATATAGGCACTATTTTACACTCGATGTCTCCAAGACCTACCGAAGGTTAACATCAGTGATGTACATCGGCTCAAGCGGCAGGCTCAGCCCTGAGGAGCAAAAGAGAAAAGGGGTTCAAGATGTAGCTACTGTACATATCCAGCTACGTCGACAATTATGAAGGTAAGTGACAAACAAAGCTGTAGTTACTGGCTAACTTTGACAAATTGACAGTGTTGATACAGTGTAAAGCGTTTTAATGATGTACTATTACGTTTTTTTGGACAACATGAATGATATCCAATTCCCCACAGTTTCAAACAAAGAACTACCTTCAGGGAGAGTGAGCATCAGGGCTAGCTGTTACAGGTCCATGAGAAAGCATGAAAAGCCTCACGATCTCAAAGTAGGGAGGAAAATAAAAAGTGTTCATGTTCTGGGGTTTTGATGTAGCTAGAGTAGGTAACCTGTGATTTAGGATTCAAATAAGCCCAGCTGACGTGTTGCAACAGATTACATAGTGACAATACATTTGCTCACATCAACTGGTAGCTATGTGTGTGTAGCATGAAGGGGCTACACATTTATTTTCGTTTTGTAACCCTCTCGTGTAAAATTATAAATACATTAGCTAAACCCAAACTTAGCTTTCATCAAAGATTCTTAATGAGAGGTTGAAAACCGTCTCTGCTTTCATGGAAACCCCAGAAACTGGTTGTGACGGCTGCTGTTCTTTACTGAATGGTTAGTATAATCCATGTAGGGTCCAGTTAGTTGTATGGGCCAGTGTTAGGTAAGTGCTGGTTTTGTACCCTACATCTATGTTAAGATGTTCAACGTTCTACTAACACTATTTGATGTAGTTATAATATAAGATAATAAATTGAGAGAGCTGAGACAGGCGATACAAGCGTATCTGTTTGAATGTCCTCAAATTACAGTATTCCAAACAGCAGAACTTCTGTGTATGTGATGTGACTGACAACCTGACATGGTTTAGCCTTTTCCCACACCTATTACTTGCCTGATCAGCCTGCTCTCAGCTTTCTCATTTGTCTGTGTTGTATTGAAGCAGTGTCCTAAATGTAAAATGACTGACATTTTGTTTTAAGAACTGCTCACCTGTGGAGATTGCAGTGGCAAAGTGTTCCTGTGTAGCTGGAACAGCACTCTGCAACCACAATGTTGCACTGCTGTTCCAGACTGCAAACTACTCCACACTCAACCTGGCTGCTGTACCCCCTGTCCTCAGCTGCACTGAAACAGAGCAGCGATGGCACAAGCCAAGAACCATGGTAAGTACAGTATGTGTTCACTACCAATCCACGGTTTAATGAGTATTTCCTTTGTGCCAAGAGCTGATTTAGTATGTTGCATCAATGACCTTTTCAATTAATTTGACAATTATTTTGTGTAATTAATAGGGAGTGAAACCAGGCAGAGTGAGTGACATGGTGTTCATTTCCACTAAGCCAAAGCAGTTTACAGTTGCTGACGGTGTAAGGTAATATATATTGTCCTAAGTAATTGTATGTAGCCTGCTACAACTTTGTGATTGTTGTTCGAGTGTACAATTGTTCTTAAAGTCCTAATTATCATATAAACATGTTCAAAGGAGTACACGTTACAAGGCAGTGCGGGGGGTGCTGCCAGACCCAGATGTCCTCAAAGTCAGCGAGGCATACAAGGACTTCTCAGCAGACATCGCACCACGAAAAAAAAACGAATGGCTCACTACTCAACTCAACGACTAACACTCTTTAGAGGATATGTTAGAAATGCACACATTATATATATTTTTTGCATCTACTTTCTGGATATTGTACATCTGTTCATCTGTTATATAAACTAGCATTACTTAAATATGCAGACACTAATTGAAATGTTTAAATATGTATTTTTCCCCCCGATATAACATCAACCTATGTTTTGTAAAAGTTTATTAAATGAATCTGTAAAATGTTATCATATTGTGGATTTATTAAATTATGTATTTTCCTTTGTTATTTATGTGTGTGTTTGTTTTGAGGATATAATTAATTAGTACCTAAACATAGTATGGTATAACTGCTTTTTGTAATGAAATACACAATTGGTTTGGGAGCAAGAAATCTTTTAATCGTTGTTGCCCAGGCTTGCCGAAATGAATGGAAACTTATCTCCCGATTATAACATTGTGTAACTTGCTGCTGTTAAATACCGTCAAACTATGTGCAATATGTGCTTTATGTGCAATATATAGTTTATATACATATGCCATCTTTAATAACTGTAATATATATACCGGGCTGCTAAATCCTAAGAACTGCTACAGGATTTGATTTGTAGATTTGATTTGTTTTTGATCTGTATTTTTGAAAATTATGTAACTTTTTATCTTTTTTTTTAGCATATTGTTTATTATATTATAACTTAGTACTTTTTAACGCATGTAAGATATTCAACACTAAGCTGTCTGTGGCTCTTTCCTGCTTCAACGCTGCAAATGTCCCCTACTGTGGGACTAATAAAGGTATTCTGATTCTGATAACGGGACGAATTTGTACAAAGGGGCACACAGCAATGTAGTGCCGACTTTCTTACACGCTGGAAGGCCAATCGCTTTTCTTTACCCCGAAATCCGCTCATTCTTGCTCTCGGTGTGACATAACAAACTGTCAAGCTGTCAAAACTCTGTACTCAAACCGGAAATACTCAGCCGCACACCCAGCCACCGGAAGTTGATAGACGCCATCTTGTGCACAGAGCCTATTGGGAGGGGCGTACCCAAATGTATGTGCACAAGCACGGACAAGCATGTTTTGATAAAAAGATTAGAGAGTTAAGACCTGCAAGCGATATTATTATCAGCTCAAATAAACTGCAGTTGGAAATCAGAAAAAGACACTCCTCACTAACCCAGAACAGAACCTGCTTGAGAATCACCATCAGTTTAACTTTTTTACAAGTATCAAATAACCAAGGGCTATGCAAATCTGTGTAACTCTTCAATCTGGAACTTTTTAGTTCAACTTTTTCTATAGTATAGCGTTTAGTGTATATCTTAAAGGCCATGCAAGGCCACATAGGTTATTCAGATATTCTTTCTGAGTAGACCTCGGCTCAGGTTGCAGGGGCAGAACTACCCAGAAGTAACATTAGGTCACTGAACTTCAAGCACTAATAAGGACGATAAACAACAAGCCAACCAACAGAGAGGGAGCTGTCAATCACACCTCCCTGTACACAAGCACAGTGTATCAATCAAATGAATCAAACATAATAAATACAAGTGTGAGGCTTAACTTGGGTCTGCATGGCAGTAACAGTATATCACTGCTGTCTTACTTGGTCTAAAAGCTGCATTACAGTAAAATAAAACATTAAAATCAACTGTAAGGTTCCGGTGACGTCATCGCCCTGAATGGCAGCCTAATCCCTCGATTCCACCGGGTCCGTCTGCGTCGCGTCACGGCTGCGCCGCGGTTTTGGTCCGGCCTCCTCCGGCATCATACCCTCCCGGGCGCGTTTCAGAAGCATTTCAGTTTTTCTGGACAGGCTACTTTGTACAGACAAAGTTAATAATAATTGTAATATCCCAGTTACAAACGACATGAATCAAAGATGTGTTGCTGTATTTTAGAGGTAAAAAAATGCATAATTATTCAATTTACACAGTACCTGTAAACCGAAGGAGAACGCTGGCATTTCTCCTCCTACTTGAAAGACTACGGAGGGATAAATTAGTTTCAAAATTAGTTTATTTTGGGGATGGGCCGGATGCGCTGACCGGTCCACTTCCTGCCCGCCGCCTCTGCAACGCCTTGCGTCGCGTCGAAAAATAGACTTGAATCCTATTTTGAGCGGAGCCCAGCGCCGAGACGCTTCTGGGACGCTTCTGAGCCATAACGCGGCGCCTCTGGTGGAATAGCACCCATTGACTAGAGTGGCCGCAATTTTTGCGAACGCCGCGGCGCAGCCGTAACATGGCCGTAACGCGGCCGTAACACGACACAGACGGACCTGGTGGAATCTAGTAGTAAGATAGCAGCTCCTCCAAAGTAATAGTTAATTAACCCCGTTAGGTCGTCAAATAAAACAAACTGAGAATAAGCGACTTGGCAGTGGGGCAATAATGGGAAGAAGGGATGGAACCAATAAAAAAGCCGATGGACAACCTGGAAATGAAGAAAAAACGGATAACGGCTCACCTACGCAGGTATAGATGGCGAAGCTAGCGCTAGCTCATTGGGCTTAGCCAAAGTTTTGGAGGAGATACAAGACTTTCGAAAGGACACGAAACAACAACTAAGCGATATTAAGGCTGAGCTTACCAACGTTAATACAAAAATAACAGAGGTACTATGAAAGCGGGACTAAATCTATGAAAGTACTGGCATGGAAACTGAAAAAAAAGATAGCAGAGAATACAATCCACAAAATCAGGGATCCAAGAACCAAAATAATAAAACCAAATTAAGTGATATCCAGGAAGCTTTTGAAGCATTCTACAAAAAATTGTACTCTGGAGTTCCAGGGGGCAGCCTTACTCAAATTGACACTTTCTTAGCTCTATAGATCTGCCGACCCTAAATGAAGAACCAAATAAAATGATGACTGTTGACATAACTGAAGGTGAATTAAACATTGCAATAAGTAAACTCAAACTAAGCAAGTCACCAGGATCAGATGGCTATACGGCAGAATGGTATAAGGAATTTAAGGGCGAGTTAACACGGCATCTATTGCACGTCTGTCCGTCCTGGGAGAGGGATCCCTCCTCTGTTGCTCTCCCTGAGGTTTCTCCCATTTTAAACTGTGGGTTTTCTTCGGAAGTTTTTCCTTGTACGATGTGAGGGTCTAAGGACAGAGGGTGTCGTATTGTCATACTGATATTCTGTACACACTGTGAAGACTACTGAGACAAATGTAACATTTGTGATATTGGGCTATATAAATAAACATTGATTGATTGATTAACACCGATTATACTCTCAACACTCAATTGGGTCTTAAAAAAGGCTCAAACACCTCCCAGCTGAAATGAAGCGATAATATCTGCAACACCAAAAGAAGGAAAGGATAAAATGGAGTGTGGATCATTCAGACCAATATCTGTTCTTAATGTGGA